TTTTTTTTTTCCAGCTGCTAATTGTCTTTCTTTGGAGAAACAGGTTTGAAGGAATCTTAGGTGCTAGGCATTTACTAAACACGACCGTAGGCTGCTGATTAATTATTGAAGTATTCATTTACTTATTTATGCTGTCGAAGGGGTGGCCAATGAAAGTTAACCGCTCAAGGAAAATTCCTCTCTGCATCAAAAGTTAATTTGTTTTGCTTGTCTCATTAAAAACATAGCTATATAGTGAATGATTACTAATTCATCGAGCTCTTGCTGGAAAGTTGGTACGACAAATCAAGTGAATTACCGTATTGTGTGAACTTATTGTAGAAACAGCACTCCTACTAACCTAGAAGCTGTAATTTTTCTTTTTTGGTCTGGATGGTTGAAGTTCTCCAACTAAAGGTAAGTGTGAAAAAGAGATAATTTGTGGTTAGTGTGGAAAAAGTGGCAATGTGTGTGGAAAAAGGGATGGTGAGAGTTAAGAAATCACTTCCAAACTTGCAAATGGTTGAGTAGTAATTTTCATCATGTTGAAATAAAGTATCTTAAATTTGAATTATGAATATGTAAATAAAATTAATTTTTATAAAGCTACCTCCTAAAGTCCTAACTCTATTAGTGCTTTTTTTTTTTTTCATTTAAATAAGCATGTACTTTCATATGCAAGAGAAGTAAAGAAAAGAAAACCAACGCAAATGAAAAGGAAATGACTTTCAATTCTACTCTAAGTTGGACTATTTTGTTCATTGCTTCCGAGACTTAATCTTGTTTGGTAATTATATGGTTTTCTATCGTAGAAAATTAACTTGACTTTCATTTGGAACATAGAATAACTAAGCTTTGAGGAGTAATAATGAAATTCAAAGTTTGGTTAAAAAATTAGGATTATTAATCGGCCTTCTTCGAGTAGAAGAAACAAAGGCCATTTGTCTTGTTTGCTGTCTTTTTCTTTTTGGGTCTAAGTTTGATTGGATGTCTTGTCGTGGGGTATGGTTATAGTCACATTAATATTATTAAAGAAACATAAAAAAATTATAGATGTATTTGTTTTACCCATCAAGAATAATTGATAGTGGTAAGTATTAAATGATAGTTTATAAAATAATTAATATTTATTATTTAATAGTTTAAAATTAATATATATAGTAATATTTTTAAATATCTTAATTAATTATAAATCCATAAAATTAGTCAAATTTAAATGTTTATGTAACTTTAGCAAATATTAGTGTGGCTATATCCATTGCAATTGTAGCGGTTCTTCTTCTGTTTTTAAAGAAATTGGGAATATATTCAGCAAGAATAAATTACCATTAAAGTGGTGAATAAACAACTTAAATTAATGAATTGTGGTTTGCTAGTAATTTTTTTTCAATGAATGTAATAAATTTTGAATTCAAATTCTAAATATGCAGCTGGATGGATAAGATGCGAGAGAGTTCCTTGGTTGTGATTTTTTTT